TTAAAGCCACCTTTTGTTGCTCCAGGGATTATATTCCCTGAATATGAATGTGTGTTCATCTTGGTGTTACTTCCTTTTGAAAAGCTCCCTTTTCTGCATGTGATGGCCCTTGAAAGAAGATGTTAACTGTCCAAAAGGAGGAAGTCATCCTTTATTAATTCTCTCACCCCACTTTGCTGAGATATCCATCAATAAATCATATCTGCCCTAACTTCTATCTCTTCTGCCATTACCTTAACCCAATCTACCGTCATCTTGTAATGAAATGGTATTCTTACTGAGCTCTTTTGATCCCTTACTTTTGTACCTTGAAATCTCTTTGGCACAGAGAATAGAGTAGACTCTAGGGTATGTCACTGCTCTTACAAAAACTCTGTAATGGTTTTCCATTGCTTATAGAATAAAATATACAACTTCTTTACCATGGTACACATAGTCCCAGTAACAATCCTGTTCTGGCCTATCTGTGTGTTCTCACTTTCTGCCATTCTCCTCTGGCTCACTATACTGCCCATCTCTCTATTCCTCAACTGCCGTACCCTTACTTCGGATTCAGGACATTGACAAAAATGGCCTAGAACTTCAACCTAGAACTTTCTTTTCTCTACTCTAATATGAAATAGGTGTTCAATAAATATTTACTGAGAGGAGATTTAGTTGTCATCTCACTAGGGATGTGAAGGCCTCAAAAAAGCCCCAGGAAACACACTTTCAGTGAATATCTGCTTTTCTTGACACTGCCACACCGGCAACAAAATAGATTAGCTCCTTACTCTATAGCAGATACAGCAATACACTCCAAATAAGTTAAAGGAGACTAACACTGAAAATTAAAACATTAGGAAGCCTAGATGGAAATGAAATAGTAACTTTATCCTAAATGTGTAAGGGAAGAAGCAGAAAAGACTATCAACAAGAAAGCAGACAAGAACAATTATAATAAAAATGAACTTCTGAAACAATATGTTTCAAAGTAATAAGAAAAGCAATAGATTAAGATAAAATTGTCATTATATAGATGATGCATACAAGTTTACAAAAGAAAAAGAGAAAACTGATATAATCCTAAAAAACAATTCTTACCCTTCTAGATAAAAAAAATCACTGACTAGGGATGCCTGGGTGGTTCAGTTGGTTAAGCGTCTGCCTTCAGCTCAGGTTGTAATCCCAGGGTCCTAGGATCGAGTTTCACATTGGGCTCCCTGCTCTGTGGGAAGCCTGCTTCTCCCTCTGCTTGTGTGCTCTCTCTCTCTCTGACAAATAAATAAATAAAATCTTAAAAAAAAAAAAAAGATCACTGACTAAAAATGGCCAGTTCACAAATAAGGAAATGAAATAATAAAACAAGCATTTTATTAAGTACTTCCCATATGCTAGTCCTGAAGAAATAAACATGAAGATTCTATCTCATAGTGGAGTTATATCTTAGTTATATCTTAATTGGGAAGATAATTCTGTTTAGTCCTGCAACTACCTAAGTAAAAAAGCTTAAAATCGGTTCTCTGAAACTAAAGCTAATCATTATGATTTATATAAATCACTATAATTTATTTAAATCACTATACAATGATTTACAATGCTTCACAATTACATTTGTGCATACTGTTTTCAGATCAGATGAATTTAGAACCATCAGTTGAATAAGACCGTATTCATTCAATAAGCATTTATAAGACACCTACTATATTCTAAATGAATAAAACATAGACTAGGTCCTGGTCCCAGTTCACAGTCTATCAGGGAAGGCAGATATGTAAGTAAATAATTTATCATCAATTTGATAAGTGCTAGAGAAAAAAATAAACAAAATGCTATTATAAGGACAGAGGAGGTGATAAAAAATCTTGCCTGAGGATGTCAGAGAAGACTTGTTGAAAAGAGGAAAAATGAGAGGAGAGTGATATTCCAAAGAAAATGACACAAACTAAAAAGGGGCAAAGGTAAAAAGTGTATAGTGTCTTCCAAAATTTACATATACTTTGATGTAGCTAAGGGCAGTTTGTGCACAGGGGTATAGCTGATTACTAGGGGCAAAGTGAGGCAGGTCCTGGACCCTACAGGCCAGGGGTGCACATGAAAGCATTTGGACTTCAAGCAAGAGTGATTTGACCACATGTTGTATTTTTTTAAACAACTACTCAGAAAATCTATATGGAGAAATTATTAAGAGTCTGAGACTAGATATAGAGAAACCATTCAGGAGGAAGAAAGGTTTAAAAGAAAAATGAAAAGAAGATGGGATGTGAATGATACTAAGAAGTCAGAAATAACAGAACTTAATAACTAACTAATGGACTATGTGAACAAAGGAGAGGAATGAAAATAAAATGGCCTCCCGGTCTGTATCTCAGGCAAAATCGTTATAGTGTCATTAACCAAACCTGGGATGGGGGAAAGGAGACAACATAAGGTTTTAGAAAATGTTCAGTTCCCTTCATAGTTAACAGAATTCAAATTTAAACATCCATGAGGCACAGTCTTGCATTAATTAAAATAGAGTAAATTAATAAAAATATAATCACTGCTGTGGGGTATTGGGGGAAAAGATACACTAATACATTGCTGCCCTACAACCTGGTGAAGTCGTTCTGAAAAGAAACTTGGCAACAAATATAAAAGCCATAAAAATTATCATGTTCTTTGACCCAGAAACACAACTTTTTGGAATATAGCCCAAGGATATAATTCAAAAGAAATAAAAAACCTATTTGTATAAAGATGTTTACAGCTGTGCTATATATTACAGACAAAAACTGGAAACAGCCCAAATGCCCAACAGTGAGGGAATGTGTAAGCAGACTTTGGTACATTAATGCAATGGGGTATTTTATTGCTATTAAGAATGACAAATATGAGAACTATGTAGAAATAAAAAAGGGCAATATAAAGCAATAAGTAAAAAATGCAGAACTCAAAATGATGCATATAGAATGATCATAACGATGTAAAATTATGTCTGTATTACCAGGAGTATTGGAAAAGACTACAGAGCTGGTAATTTAGAGTGCTGACATTTTTGTTATTGTTGGTTGAGTTGCTGGGAATATTTATGTGTTTCAAGTTATAATTCACTGTATATTTAGTACATACACATCAAGAAAGATAAATCTCCATTTTTTTCTGGCACATAAAATTTTTAAAAGTGCTCATCAGTACCTTTCCTTTCTCTAAGTGATTTTCTCTAATCTCTTGAGTCCTATTAATTTTTGGATGTATGAGGAAGTGGACTCCATCCATACTCCATGACCTTCTAACTCAATCAAATCCCACCCCTTATGGTTATTCATAGCACCATGTACCTTTCCTTGGTATTGTCTTAGTTTTAAGATCAGTTAATTAATGTTTACATCTCCCCTACCATATTGTATGCTCCATGAAGGCAGAGAAAGTATCTGGTTTTGTTTATTACTACATTTCTAGTTCCTAATGTAATACCCAGAACATTGCAGTTACTCAAGAAACATTTGTAGGATGAATGAATGATTGACCCTGTAGGTCATGTTACTGAGAGGGCATTGTCAGTTCCATGAAGATACACTGATCAAATCATTAAAGAAAAAGGACAATCCAAAAGAATAGCTACATGGATTAAAATGATAGTTATTGGCCTTGCTTTATTATGTATTAGGAACTATGAATAAAGTTCTATACATGTGGTTCTTATCCCTTAGTTGTAACACATAAAATGAAATCAATCTCTCCATCTCCATCACACACACACACACACACACACACACACACACACACACACACAGTAATTTCAAAGTTCAGTTAAAGTATGCAAAAGGAAACCAAGAGCTGCATTTGTGGGTAGGGACCAAGGTCATGAAATTGCTGTGTGAAAAAAAGGGAAAGTTGCTCCTGAAAGAAAAGGGTGGAAAAGGACAGGAGCTGAACTAAGGGCTTAGGGATTCTTTTGTAAAAAGGAAAATGCCTAAAATTAAATTTTGGGTCATTAATGTTGTTACAGTGCAAATCCATATGCCTTCCCAAACCTTCAGTGATGTCTGCTATGTTCATTACCTTAGATCAAGACTAAGCTACCCTAAAAGGGAGGACAGAGTTATAAGAGCCGTCAAGCCACAAGGGCCATCTTGGAGGTTGGCCAAAAGTTTCTCTCCTCTGATAATCAATATTTATCTAACCTCATTTGGAATGTATATCTCACTGGAAAATGTCTTACTCATCTTTCAATTTTCAGGAAGAACCATACCTATTCCAGAGTATGACAGGATTGCACATGACAGGGTGTCTTGGTGTATACTCTGCTCCCGGGGAACTCCTGACTCTCCAACTTCATAGTTCCCACCCTTTCTGCTCCAGTCACATCTCCGCTTTAGGTCTTGGATCAACATACGGCTTCAGTCTTCCTCATACCATTCCCTCAGACATTCCTTCTGACTCTGTATAACTGAATCTAACCTGCATGGATTCAATCTGGGCTGGCCCTCCAACAGGACTGGGCAGAGAGCATTTAACATAGTGCCTCAGCCATAACCAGTGCTTAAAAAAGATTATTAGATTCAGTCAAAATTAATTAAATATGGTAACAATTCTAATGCTTTAATCTACAAGTAGCAGTAGTGTTTCTCAACTTTTTAATCCAGCTATACTGGCCAGGGTTTTGTCAAGCTTTACTTTCTAGAAGTGGTCATAAGAATAGAGTAATAATATTTTGACTTTTAAAAAATATAAAATGCAGATGAAATGCTGTAATATTAAATGTGCTTTTTAAAACAATGTAATCCCTTCCAACCTGCCCAGGAGATGGTGATATCCTTCCCCAATTTCACCACCTTCTGCTGACTATGGGAGGCCTGGAGAGATGCAAAGCTCTTCTGCTGTTTGATGGAGAATCACTGATATAGAACTGGGGAAGTCACTGTGAAAAAAGTCTCTCTATCTTTCTTAAGACCACAAATAACCAGGAAAAATATAAATACATTAATTCATTATATTTATGAATAGTCTTATAAGAACTGCTAAAAAATATGACCTACCCATCTAGGAGGGCGATGACGTTCTTCCTGGGTCTCCCAATATTAGGACCGTACAAGCTGGCTCTGGAGTAAATCCGGATGGGTTGCAACAGGCTCTTCAGCTGGATGTAATCCTTTCCCAACTGGCTGCCATTTACCGCCCGGCCATGCATGGTTCGATAGTTATTTGGCTCTAGATTAAAAGCAGACATGCAAGTCAGAGTTGAGAAGGGTAAGGCTCTGCCAACCCTTTCCTGTTCACAGATCTTTCTGCCTTTTTCTTAACAACGTGAATAAAACAACCAAAAAAGAGAGTGTAAGCTAGTTTAACTTGAGGAACCATTATAACAAAAAGTTAAGTGCCATTTTAGCATTCTACTCATTTTCAAACTAATCTTCACATAAGATCACCTAATCCACAAGAGAGAGACCATGCTGATTTTTGGGTGATACTTTATAATGAATGGTCTACTGGGCTGAATAGTGTCTCCCAAAGTTCATGTCTACCTGTAACTTCAGAATGTGACCTTATTTGGAAATAGAGTCTTTGAAGATGTAGTTAAGATGAGGTCATATGGGATTAGGGCGTGCCCTAAATCCAGTGCCTGGTGTCTTTATAAAAAAAACGAACGGAGAGGGAGATCCAGGTACACAGACACACTGGGAAGAGGGCCATGTGTCGACGGAGGCAAAGATTGGAAGAATGCTGCTATTCCAAGGATTGCTGGCAGCAGCTACTAAAAGCTGAGAAAGAGGCATGGAATAGATTCTCCCTCAGAGCCTCCAGAAGGAATCAACACTGGCAATACTCTGATTTCAAGCTTCTGGTTCCCTGAACTGTGAGAGAATACATTTCTGTTGTTTTACACCACTGAGCTTACGGTAATTTGTTATGAACAGGCTTAGGAAACTGAGACAAATGGTGAGAAAGGAAAGTTTTATAAAGATGGCCATTGTATCAAAAAGAAAAATCTTAATGTTTAATAACAAAGTGGCTGGGTGAAATAATTTAGAGCACAACACCCTCCCTCAGTTTCTATTAACTTGGTAGTTCTAAAAGGGCAAGGAAAGTCCTAAAAACCAGCAACTCCACTGCTGGAGGGAGCTAACTTGATTTGGAATTAAGCACATGCTCCAAGTAGGGCAGATACTTTGGCTACCTTGAGATTTTGTAGTGTCAAGAAATTGACCAGCAGACCTGCAAAAAATTTAACAGGGAGATTTGGGGAATAAGAGACACAGTGGGCCTTGATAAGCTCACACATACGACATTGCTTTCACCACCATGTCTCCTGACTTAAAAATAGTTTATGTGGAGTTAATGTTACTCCCTTCACCATATTCTACATGGTTTCCTCAGTGTAAAATGTCCAGTACATGCAGGACCACATCTCCGTATGTGACCAGACCCACTAATTAAATATAAGTAACTCAGCTACTCCACTCTCAGATGGACAGCCCCACTCTTGAAGATCTGTAATTTAAATGCATACCCCTTGTTGTCTGGAAGGCTGTGTATGCTCAGGAGAGACTGGAGAGGGCACTAACTATCCATGTACTCGCAGATGAATGTGAAACCTAGCACATTTATAAAGGAGACAATGAGAAGGCATGCCAGAAAAGAAAAGCCAGTGAGAATTATAAACTGTTTAAATTTGGAATCTGTTCTCCAACTCACACACAGATCCACTAGCAAAGGATGGAAGCCTTACTGGTGCAAAGTAAGCACAGCCTCTAATCAATCATTGTCTAACATTAAGCTGTGCTGACTCAGGGACAACCTCTAGGAAGCTGGCCTTAAGAAATGATTAAAAAATAGAAAAACTTAAGATATATCAGCATCTACACAATGCAAGAGAGACAGACTCTACAGAATTAGTCCACGTAAGTCACTAAACAAACAAACAAGCAAAAAAGAAACAACAAAAACAGCCTCTGGGATGGAGGATTCAGAATCCAGAGTTGTTCCAACATATTACCTAAAATGTAAATTTTCAACAACAACAAATATTACAGCATGCAAAGAAATAGGATAGAGTGACCCATAAGCAAGTAAAAAAGCAGTCAACAGAAACTTTCTCCGAAGGGGCCCAAATGTTAGACTTCATGGGCAAGGAATTCAGAACTATTATTATAAATATGTTCAAAGAGAGAACAGGAACAATAAAAAATTAAAGGAAAGTATGATTGTATTGACCAATCAAATATAAATGAAGAGATAAAAATTATAAAAAATTATCAAATGGAAATTTTGGAACTGAAATGATTTTCACATACAGAGGAACACAAGGAAATTATCAGCTGAATTTTTACCAGAAATAATGCAGGCCAGAAGACTACAGGATGACATATTCAAAATGCTAAATAAAAAAAAATGTCAGCCAAGAATTCTATATGTAGCAATCTATCCTTCAAAACTGAAAGCAAAATTTAAACCTTAACCAGAAAAACAAAGGACAGAATTTGTTGTGAGAAAATCTGCCTTACAAGGAATGAGAAATGAAGTCTTTCAGTTTGAAAGGAAATGACACCAGATGGTGACTCAAAACGGCACAAAGAAATAGAGATCACCAGTAATGGCGGTTGCATAGGTAAATATAAAAGACAGTTGAAAATATCCATTACTCTTTTCTTTTCTTTTTTTTAAATAAAGATTTTATTTATTTATTTGACAGAGAGAGAGAGAGACAGCGAGCTCGAGAGCACAAGCAGGGGGAGTGGGAGAGGGAGAAGCAGGCCTCCTGCCGAGCAGGGAGCCCAATGCGGGGCTCGATCCCAGGACCCTGGGACTGAGACCTGAGCCAAAGTCAGACGCTTAACAGCTGAGCCACCCAGGCGCCCCTCCATTACTCTTAATTAATTTAAATAACAGTTACATAAAACAAAAATTACAAAACTGTGTTTTCGGGCTTATGACATATGAAAACATAATGTTTAAAATAATAATGGCATGAAGGAGGGGGAAATTGAGTTCTATGGAGCAAATTTTCTATAGTTACCTGGAATTAAGTTAGTATTACTCTAAAGTAGATTGTAATAAGTTCATATGTATTACAATAAGAAACTACTATGAAAATAAGTAAAACAAAATAAAAACAAAGAAATTAAAGTAATACCTTAGACAATATCTCTTCTGCATAAAAAAGTAGTACAGGGGAAACAGAAGAACAAAAAAATGAAATAAATGGAAAATAGCAAGATGGCAGATATAAATGCAACCATATCAACAATTACATTAAATGTAAATGGATTAAACACTCCAGTTAAAAGCAGAAATTGTCAGGTTGAATAAAAATCTAAGATCCAACTAAAGAGACAGACTCTAAAATAAAAGATACAAATAGATTGAAAGTAAAAGGATGAAGAAGATATGCCATGCAAACAGTAACCATAAGAGAGCTGGAATGACTATAATATCAGACAAAATAGACTTTTTAAGACAACAATATTTAAGACAACAATGTTACTAGAGATAATGTGGGGCATTTTATAATGATAAAAGGGTCAATTTGTTAGGAAGATATAACAGTTACAAACATAGACATACCAACAACAGAATACCAAAAGACATGAAGCAAAGTTAAAGACAAAAATAGAAAAGCCAGCAATAATAGGAGACTTCAATACCACATTCTCAGTAATCAGTAGAAAAACAAGACAGAAAATTAGCACTGATACAGAAAACACGAATAACACTATCAGCCAACTTGACCTGATTGATATCTCTACAGTACTCCACCCAACAACAGTAGGATACTCATTATTTTTTTAGTGCATATAGAGCGTCCTTCAGGACAGACCATACGGTAAACCATAAGACAAGTCTCATCTATTTAAAAGGATTAAATCATATAATGTATGTGCCCTGACCACAACAGAATTAAAATAGAATTCAACAGAAAGAAATTTGAGAAATCTATAAATATTTGGAAGTTAAACAAATAATCCATGAGTCAAAGAAATCACAAGGGGAATTAGAAAATATTTTTAATGAAATGAAAATGAAAATATAATGTGTAAAAACATATGGGATGACACCAAAGGCACAATCTATGAAAGAAATAATTGATGAGCTGTACTTCATTAAAATTAAAATCATTTGCTCTGCAAAACACAATGTTATGAGAATGAGAAGACAAGCCACAAACTGGGAGAAAATACTTGCAAAAGACACATCTCATAAACGACTGTTATCCAAAATATACAAAGAACTCTTAAAGTTTAGAAACAAACCACCTGATTTAAAAATGGGACAGACTCCAATAGACACCTCATCAAAGGAGATACACTGATGGCAAATAAAAATATGAAAAGATAAGCAAATTAAAAATATGTTCCACATATGTCATCAGGGAAAGGCAAATTAAAACAACAATTAAGGGCACCTGGGTAGCTCAGATGGTCGGGCATCTGCTCAGATCATGATCCCCGGGTCCTGGGATCAAGTCCCACATTGGGCTCCCTGCTCAGAGAGCAGTCTGCTTCTCCCTCTGCCCCTCCCACCTGCTCATGCTCTCTCTCTTGCTTGCTCGCTCTCTCTCTCTCTCAAGCAAATAAATTTTAAAAAATCTTAAAATAAAAAAATAATTAAAAAAAAACAATTAAATACCACTACATGCCTATTCGAATGGTCAAAATTTGTTAACACTGACAGGACTAAAAACTAGGTAGAATGTGGAGAAACAGGAATGCTCATTCATTGCTGGCAGGAATGAAAAATGATATGGTCACTTTGGAAGAGTTTGGTGGTTTCTTACAAAACAAAATATATTCTTACTATATGATGCAGCAATTGTGTTCCTTGTTATTTATGCAAAGGAGTTGAAATTTTGTCTTCACTTTTGTCTACACATGAATTTAAAGCAGCTGTATTCATAATTGCCACAACTTGGAAGAATGATTATGTCCTTCTGTAGGTGAATGGATAAATGAACTGTGGTACATCTACACAATGGGATATTATTCAGCACTAAAAAGAAATGAGGTAACAGCCATGAAAAGATATGGAAGAACCTTAAATGCATAACATTAAGTGAAAGAAGCCAATCTGAAGAGACCACATACTGTATAATTCCAACTATTTGACATTCTAGGAAAAACAAAATTAGGGACAGAGTGAAAAGAGTCATGGTTGGCAAAGTTCAGGGACAGGAAGGAGGGATAAACAGATGGATCATAGAGGATTTTTAGGAC